TCGAAATATGCATCTGGTTGGATTGAGCTCTGATTCAGGTGCTGGTTTCTCGACCCCAAATTAATTTCCGTGTTGCTTCCCATGATCATATCATCGTCGGTGGCTCTCTTTCCTTCTCTGTATTATTCTTTTGGTCGATCGGTTCAGATTCTCGTCGAGTCCTCTCTTTTTCCAATTGACGGCGATTCGCCTCCCTTCTCTCTCTTCTTAGTTCGTCGGTGATTATCGTCGGCGATTCTTCTGTCTTCTTTGTCATCGTTAGAGGATGGACTATTCCTGCATGTCCATTACTGTAAGTCCTCTCGATCTTCGTTCTTTGCTTCTAATTTGTGTATTAGGGTTTGTGTAGATCAGATCAGAAATGATTTGGAAAGGTTAGAAATATGTCGATTAGGGTTTGTGTAGATCAGGTTTTATACCCACGCTACGCATGGGTTTGTTTTATCGATATGTGGGTTTAATATATATTTGGACTTGCTAGTTTTTAAATTAGCTAGACGTTGACATATATGAATTCAAAAGTATGGTAAGAAAGTTAAGCAATCATAGAGAATTAGTGAAATAGTTTACCATAAATACTATTTCAATACATCGGTAGAGTCTGTTAATGATTCGGCAGAGTCTGCCAATACCTCGGCGAAGTCTGCCAATGTTTAGGTAGAGTCTGCCAATGTTTGGCAGAGTCTGCGTATTTTTAGATATTGGCAGAGTCTGCCAATCCATCGGTAGAGTCTGCCAATGTTTCGGCAGAGTCTGTCAATATCTCGGCAAAGTCTGCGAAGGACAATTTTAATATTATGAAGAAAAAAAATCTAGAATAGGTTATTTCAACAATAAAAAAATAGTAAGGTTATTCTAACTATTTTTAAAAAAATAATAGGTTATTCTAGCTAATTTCCCGAGTGAACCAGTCTTGAACCGTCGGGAGAATTCTGCAGTAAGATCTCTATATCTTTTGGTCGAAAATTTGTGGATTAGATTTGTGTCATGGTAAATTTCCTGATTATTTATTCCGTCTCGTCGCATATGCTAATACAGGCATCTTTTGGGACGTGCGGGACTATCGAATCCCGGATCTCTTCGATCCTGATCTTGTTAAACAAAAGCCGTTCTTGATGCTGGTTATACTGGGGATGTGTCCATCCGTCTTTGGATTGCTAAGAACAAGCACTCGGACCATCTGCTCCAAATTTATTCGGCTGCCAAAATTCCCATCACTTTCGTACCAAACGGTGAATTTTTGTTTTGTTTTTACTTTTATGTGTATGACTTTGATCTACGTATGTCATTACTCTAAATCTCCGTTCCGTTGTTATGCTCTGCTCGTCCAGATGATGAACTTGAGATGATTCATAATATTGTGGTGGGCATTCTTCTATTGTCATTGGATAATCCTGCACCAGCAAATGTGATGGTAGTCTCAGAACACATCAGCTACGATATGCTAGAGAGCCTTGAAATTACAGGGTTCTCATATCAAATCCTCCAGAAGACTGGGACACGGATACTTTTCCTTGTGGAAGTTTGGATTGGCTTCTCAAAAGCCTATCTCACCACCTAAGAAGAAGAAGCGGCCGATAGTGGATATTTCTGATTCTAACAACAGTACCTATCTGGTGGGTGTCAATCCCAACCCGATGAGATACTCTGCCGAAACCATGTGGAGTGAATTCCCCCCTCCACCCGCTGGATGTGATGGTAAGATCTATCTCCTTGCGGATTAGATTTCACCTGCTCGATCTAAATTTCAATGGATCTATCTTATTGTGTTCACCATCAAACTCAAAGGGCGTGAGGTATTCGTCCTCTGGGACGTTGACGATCCTTCAATCCTTGAACGGGTCGATCCTAGGGCCACTGCTAACAAAATCAGAACAGCTCTTTTAGATAAAGGTTATTATGGGGACGAGTCAATCTGGGCTTTCTATGATTTCGGTTCGGTTGACTCTCATCTGCGTGAAATGTTTGCCTATTTTTCCAACATGTATGGACAGGTGAATTCTTTTATTTCTCTTTTTATTTTCTACTTATTTGTACGTATAAATGACTAACTACCATGATATGATATACTAGTCCGAGGTGCTACAACTGTCAGATCTAATGTGGTGGCATATACCACTCTTTTCCCAGTAATGAGCGCTCACGCTCGTGCTAATCCATCATGTGTGCTGCTACTCTCAGAAACACAAGGGCTTCCAAGCTATTGTTGATGCTCTGAAAAGGCACCACTTCCAAGCCGGCTTTTTTAAGCCTAATGAATTCCTGTTCTAAAGACTAGTAACTTGTGTGCTTTTACTTTCGGCCTGCTTTTACAATGCGACTATGCCTCATCTCTCTTTTCAAAAGACTAGTAACTTGTGTGCTTTTGTTTTCGGTCTGCTTTTACAATGCAGAGTATGCCTCAAACTGCATTTTCAAGACTATTTCATGTGTATAACCGTTCTTCTTCATTATGATTTGGTATCTTATATGATGCTTACTTCTCCTCGCTACCAGTGTATTATTCACTCTCTTCACCTCCAACTCCCACCTCTTTAAAAGCTTTATATCCACAATGAGTTGTGGTTTGATTTTTAATAATATTAGGTCAACTCTTTATGTCCACATATAAGTTGTGGTCTGATTTATAAGAATAGCAGATCAGCTCTTGTGAATATGAATTATCGTCCTTCTCACTGTTGTTACTCCCTAACATTTAAATCTCATTGTTTGCTGATACCCTTCACTTTTTTGAAATCTAGAAATGTCATTCACTCTTTTGAAATCCAGAAATGTCAATATTGTAGCCTCAGCACGCATCAGGCCGGACGGCTACTTGGTGAAAGCAGATTGTAAACGAACATCACAAAGGAGAAAGGGCTTTGTATTTTATTGATTCACTAGGATTATACCCTTATTGATTCACTAGTATTAGACCCGCGTGTAGCAACGGATTTTCGATAAAGTACAACTGTGTTTATGTATTGTAATTGTTACTAGTACTAGGTGATTACCCGTGCATACGAGCGGGGTTTGTTTTTTCTCCTGAGAGTATCTCTCACCGCGTTTGTTCTACGAACATAAAAGACAATCGTTTATAAAATCTATAAGTGGGTTGAATCAAGCTCATTTCTTTGCAACCTTAAACATTCAAAGTTATCACTACACTCATTTCTTTGATGTGCATAAATTACATGTTGAAACTGATACCCTTAAACACACGATAACATTATGAAAGCTAAGACTCGAGCCATCGGTTGAGCGAATCATATGATCCTAGCATTTCAGTTGTTCATACCACTATCCATAAACAACGAAAACATTTTCAAAGATTATTATTACCCTGGTTAAAATTACGATGTGAAATTGTTACGGGTTTTGTAAGTGATAAATCCCAGTCTAGAAACTCACCGAGAGTTCGAAGATAGGGTAAATCAAAGCCTAGGAGATAAAAGATTATCCCGAAGAACTGAGATTCAGTGTTGATGGAAGAAGATGAGGATCAATAGAAGGAAAGAGATTGAAAAGATAATTTGTTTGTTCTTTGATTGATTTCCCAGAATGGCCAAAGAAATACGTTTCACATGATTAAACCGAATAACTAAACCAAGAGATTAAGAATCATAAACCGATTAACCAAGGGAATTCCTATAACAATACTTCCCTGTTCAGAGCATCCTTGTCCTCAAGGATGAAAGGCTTGATAATTGGTGATGAAATCTTCGTAAAATCCCATGAATGAGCTTGATCTGGAGGGTGCTCTTTCCACTGGGGAAGGGGCTTTGGTGATAGCAATGTTATGACATTGCCTTTAACAGATTCTTCCCGGTCTTGTATCAGTGTGGACAGAGCCAAACTCTTTGTGGGAATTTGTTGAACAACAACGTCTCCTTTGAGGACCATCTCCATCACGCCAAACGCTTTCAGATTCCATAACAAATACCAGATGATACTTTGCTTAGCAGGAAGTACCACATGATACTTAGCTTCACGAACAACAACTAAGCTTTGACAAACGTTATTAATCATTCATTAGAGACAAATCGCCATTTGTCACACTTTTCAAGTGACTTCACACAAGGAGCTTGCCATTCTTGATTTTTGAACAAACCACCTGCAAACTCGAAAGCTTCTCGAAGTGTACCCTCAGCTTTACTAACCACCCATTCATTTATAGCTTTGAAATTGTACCTCCGATTCTTGATCTTTACTCCAATTCGAAGCAGGTACAAATTCCTCAAATCCAAAACCCATGTGAGTTCCCATACAACCTTCTGTTTCAGCTCTGAAAATGATTGTAATAGCCTAGATCTCCATTTGTGCTTTGTGGGGAACTTCATAAGAACACTATCACGTTTGTAGCAGTTCTCTAACCAATTCCAGTATGTAGCTAGTAATCCTCCACGTTCCCACACACACGATTGGCTTGTTTAGTATGCAGCAATGTATGCTTATGAGTCTCACAACCATAGATTTCCAGCCTTAGATCAAAACCAGAACACACCTGAATCTTAAGCCATGTTTCCACCATCCAATCTTGAGTTTTCTGGTTTGCTTGGGCTCTAAGACAAGAAAAGACTGAATCGGC